GACTGTTCCCTGCTGCAGTGCCATATTTCCTCTCCATGGACACGTAACCCTTGCTGTGCCCATTACCACCCAGAGGATCCTCTGTCCCTTTTCCGTGCCTACTGTTGCCCTGTGGACTGTTCCCTGTTGCCTGTGTCGGATTTCCTCTCCATGGACACTTAACCCTTGCTGTGCCCCTATTACCACCCAGAGGATCCCTGCCCCTTACCTTGCCTACTGTTGCGCTGTGGACTGTTTTGCCATTGCTATGTCGGATTTCCTCTCCATGGGCGCTTAATCCTTACTGTGCCCTATTACCACCCAGAGGATCCCTACCCCTCGCCGTGATGAAGCCACCTGACCCGGTGGCGTAACGCATAGGGGAGGGGCTCTGAAGTCACGACGCTTAAAGGCAACACACAGCAAGCATACTGCGGCTATCAAAAGCACACTGTGGATTCATTTTACAATGTTTTAAAGCGATTTTAACTTGTATTACATGTGAGTGCACTACTTTATTTAATAAAGGTTTTAAAAAAGAAGATATGGCGTTATTATTATTATTATTATACAGGATTTATATTAGCGCCAATGGTTTGCTCAGCGCTGTACATTATAGCGGGAGACAGTACAGCAACAATACAGTTCAATACAAGAGGGTTATATTCTTTATTACTCTTTATGGCACTTATACCTATGGAGGAAGAGTCCTAAGGAAGTGAGGAGACCCCCGAACTGTGAAGAGGGATAATTCCATTCAACTCCAAGTCCAATTAAAGGGACACAAGCTTTGTATGACCTCAGGTGAGGGCACAGCCGGGGACGGTGCACAGGATCTGATTGGTGGATTGCATGCAAATCGTTTCTTATCACATCGCTAGAAGGAATGTCAATGTCACGGACTGATTAAGGACATTTAAGCAGCAGAAGCAGGATTGCATTATCACATATAATTTGTTGTTGTATTTAATTTATTTAATAATTTTTTTCACTCTTTATTGTAATGGTCAGTGGAGCGCAACACGGTTTATGATTTTTGTGGTCGTACTGTTACCCTGTGGATCTTTGCTGTGCCCTATTACCACCCAGAGGATCCCTGCCCCTTTGCCATGCCTACTGTTGCCCTGTGGACTGTTCCCTGTTGCCGTGCCACATTTCCTCTCCATGGGCACTCAACCTTGCTGTGCCCTATTACTACCCAGAGGATCCCTGCCCCCTTGCCATGCCTACTGTTGCCCTGTGGATTGTTCCCTGTTGCTGTGCCACATTTCCTCTCCATGGGCGCTCAACCCTTGCTGTGCCCTATTACTACCCAGAGCATCCCTGCCCCTTTGCTGTGTCTACTGTTGCCCTGTGAAATGTTCCCTGTTGCTGTGCCACATTTCCTCTATATGGGCGCTCAACCCTTGCTGTGCCCTATTACCACCCAGAGGATCCCTGCCCCTTTGCTGTGTCTACTGTTGCCCTGTGAACTGTTCCCTGTTGCTGTGCCACATTTCCTCTCCATGGGCGCTCAACCCTTGCTGTGCCCTATTACTACTCAGAGGATCCCTGCCCCTTTGCCATGCCTACTGTTGCCCTGTGAACTGTTCCCTGTTGCTGTGCCACATTTCCTCTCCATGGGCGCTTAACCCTTGCTGTGCCCATTACTACCCAGAGGATCCCTGCCCCTTTGCCATGCCTACTGTTACCCTGTGGACTGTTCCCTGTTGCCGTGCCACATTTCCTCTCCATGGGCGCTCAACTCTTGCTGTGCCCTATTACTACCCAGAGGATCCCTGCCCCTTTGCTGTGTCTACTGTTGCCCTGTGAACTGTTCCCTGTTGCTGTGCCACATTTCCTCTCCATGGGCGCTTAACCCTTGCTGTGCCCATTACTACCCAGAGGATCCCTGCCCCTTTGCCATGCCTACTGTTACCCTGTGGACTGTTCCCTGTTGCCGTGCCACATTTCCTCTCCATGGGCGCTCAACTCTTGCTGTGCCCTATTACTACCCAGAGGATCCCTGCCCCTTTGCCATGCCTACTGTGGCCCTGTGGATTGTTTACACCTTTGCCATGTCGGATTTAATCTCCATGGATGAATAAACCTTTCTAGGCTCCTGCCCCGAGGATCCCTGCCCATTGTCTGCTATATCATTGCCCTGTGGACTGTTCCTCTCTCGCTTTGCCATATTCCCCCCTCAGAGGGTCATTTCCAGTTGCTGAGCCCATTGCTCCTCTCTGAACTGATTATCTGTAGCGTAGCCCAACGCCACCCTTCCTGTACCCCCAAGTCTTCCAATAAATGCCCCGAACGTCGAGTTCCATGTGATCTGCCTCTGTGTGCTCTCTGCATTGCTAGTCCGTCACGCCATCTCTGAGCAAAGACATGCGGAGGACCCACTTCCTGTAAACAGAGATGGCGAGAAGATTCGGGACTGAAGGCGGCTTTAGATAAAAAGGGCTATTAGATTTAGTTTTCATTTTCTAATGCGGGAAGGGGGGGAGGGGGGGTGTGGAACTCATATCAGCTCTGGAATGCCACCCCCTCTGCACCCTCAGAATACTCAATGCTGGAGTCTTTCCATGCAACAATCGGAGTGCTCCTCACCTCAACAATGAATAGTCCCCACCACTTCCCCCTTCACCAGTCTGCAGCCTTGGAGAAATACCAGTCCAACCATACACCCCCTCCAGATCTTATGGCTAACACCCTATAGATTCTATACGACAGCTGCGTCTCACGCGTTTCATGTACTTACCAGCTCGCTGGCCAGGTTCAGTACACCGGACAGGTAATCTTCAATATCCAGGTGGAAGCCCTTCTCCCGGTCACACTCAACTAGGACAAGAGAACACCATTAGAAGATGTAATACCGCATGCGGTCTGCCGTATGGAATGAAGAGAATTAATGAATTTCATTATGAATTTCCTGTTATTTGAAGTTCAGTCCTGAGATGATCCGAAGAACATCCGGCTAGGGAATCAATTGGGGCAATGCTGAGTGAGTGGTAAAACCCGACATGGACACCTCTTTAGGGGACCCTGTGCCACCTTTCAGGTTTCTTTAGTAAAAAACTTACATATCACAACTACATTGTACATCCGGGTGGATTATACTGCGCTTTTTTTCAGGACAAATTGGGCTTTCATTTGGTGGTAAATGGTAATGGAAATCTCTTGATTTGTTATCAAAGAAAAACTGTCTAAAATATTTTTTAAAAAATGTTTTTTTCATTTAACGGTATATTTCTTGCTACTACTATAACCTACCACCAAAGAACGACCCAAAATAAATCCTCCTGTTCCTATCACAGCGATACCATATATGTATGTTAGTTGTTGTTTGTACCCAGAGTACAGCCCAGAAACAATAGTGCGCATTTTGCTTTTTATTTTTTTAATCCAACCTAAAACACACCGACACTGATCCGAATTTAAACATTTATTTTTATTTCATTTATTTCAGGTACCTATATAGCGCCGTCAATTTACGCAACACTGTACATATACAGTGGGGCAAAAAAGTATTTAGTCCCCACCAATTGTGCAAGTTCTCCCACTTACAAAGATGAGAGAGGCCTGTAATTGGCATCATAGGGAGACCTCAACTATGAGAGACAAAATGAGAAAACAAATCCAGACAATCACATTGGCTGATTTGGAAAGAATTTATTTGCAAATTATGGTGGAAAATAAGTATTTGGTCACCTACAAACAAGCAAGATTTCTGGCTCTCACAGACCTGTACCTTCTTCTTTAAGAGGCTCCTCTGTCCTGCACTCATTACCTGTATCAATGGCACCTGTTTGAACTTGTTATCAGTATTAAAGACACCTGTCCACAACCTCAAACAGTCACACTCCAAACTCCACTATGGTGAAGACCAAAGAGCTGTCGAAGGACACCAGAAACAAAACTGTAGACCTGCACCAGGCTGGGAAGACTGAATCTGCAATAGGCAAGCAGCTTGGTGTGAACAAATCAAACTGTGGGAGCAATAATAAGAAAATGGAAGACATACAAGACCACTGATAATCTCCCTCGATCTGGGGCTCCACGCAAGATCTCACCCCGTGGGGTCAAAATGATCACAAGAACGGTGAGCAAAAATCCCAGGGCCACACGGGGGGGGGACCTAGTGAATGACCTGCAGAGAGCTGGGACCAACGTAACAAAGGCTACCATCAGTAACACACTACGCCGCCAGGGACTCAGATCCTGCAGTGCCAGACGTGTCCCCCTGCTTAAGCCAGTACATGTCCGGGCCCGTCTGAAGTTTGCTAGAGAGCATTTGGATGATCCAGAAGAGGATTGGGAGAATGTCATATGGTCAGATGAAACCAAAATAGAACTGTTTGGTAGAAACACAACTCATCGTGTTCGGAGGAGAGAGAATGCTGAGTTGCATCCAAAGAACACCATACCTACTGTGAAGCATGGGGGTGGCAACATCATGCTTTGGGGCTGTTTCTCCACAAAGGGACCAGGACGACTGATCCATGTACAGGACAGAATGAATGGGGTCATGTATCGTGAGATTTTGAGTGCAAACCTCCTTCCACCAGCAAGGGCATTGAAGGAAACCCACACAGGCACAGGGAGAACATGCAAACTCCAGGCAGGTGGTGCTGTGGTAGGGATTTGAACAAAGGACCCTAGTGCTGCTAGGCGGAAGTGCTAACCATTTAGCCACTGTGCTGCCCAAAAAATGTTTTTATTAATAACCCCCCCCCCCCCCCCCCCCCCAAAATAAACATGACCTTTGACACAAACCCTGGCACGGGCCAAGGTCAAACCTTGATCTAGGTTTTTGAGAGAGAGAGAGAGAAGTGAGAGAGAGAGAGAGAGAGAGAGAGAGAGAGAGAGAGAGAGAGAGAGAGAGAGAGAGAGAGAGAGAGAGAGATGAGAGAGAGAGAGAGAGAGAGAGAGAGAGAGAGAGAAGGGGGGGAGAGAGGGGGGGGAGAGGGGGGGGGAGAGGGGGGGGGGGAGAGGGGGGGGGGGAGAAATGACACAGCAGAACAGCAGATCACTGGTAAATGCAGTTGCCGGTTATCAGCTGCACTTTCCTCACACTGTCACAGCGTGAGGAAAGTACTGCTGATAGCCGGCAATTGTCAGAGGAGGGATCGGCACTGATCAGCAGGACACTGATGATCAGTGCCCTGATGATTGTTGCCCAGCAGTGCCACCCACCAGTACCGCCCACAAGTGCCCAGCAGTGCCACCCACCTGTGTCTAGTAGTGCCACCCACCTGTGCCCACCAGTGCCTAGTAGTGCCACCCGTGTCCACCAGTCCACCAGTGTGCCACCCACCTGTGCCTAGTAGTGCCACCCACCTGTGCCCACCAGTGCCACCCACCCACCTGTGCCCACCAGTGCCTAGTAGTGCCACCCACCTGTGCCCACCAGAGCCTAGTAGTGCCACCCACCTTTGCCCACCAGAGCTTAGTAGTGCCACCCACCTGTGCCCACCAGAGCCTAGTAGTGCCACCCACCTGTGCCCACCAGTGCCACCCACCTGTGCCCACCAGTGCCTAGTAGTGCCACCCACCTGTGCCCACCAGAGCCTAGTAGTGCCACCCACCTGTGCCACCCACCTGTGCCCACCACCTGTGCCCACCAGTACCTAGTTGTGCCACCCACCTGTGCCCACCAGAGCCTAGTAGTGCCACCCACCTGTGCCCACCAGTGCCACCCACCTGTGCCCACCAGTGCCTAGTGCCACCCACCTGTGCCGCCTATCCATGCCGCCTCATCAACACACATCAGTGAAGGAGAAAAATTACTTGCTCGCAAAAATTTTATAATTAAAAAAAAAAGTTTTTCTTTGTTTCGCTATAAACAAAAAAAAAAAAAAAAACGCAAAAAAAGAGAGGCACCCAGTGGCGATTAAATACCACCAAAAGAAAGCTTTATGTGTGTGAAAAAAAATGTCATATGGATACAGTATTGCATGACTGCGCAATTGTCATTCAAAGCGCTGAAAGCTGGCCTGGGCAGGAAGGGGGTATAATTGCCCAGTAGGCAAACGGTAAAGTCACTGTGCGATTTAAAATTGCGTGATTTGTGTGCAATTTATGAAGCTACTTGTGAAGATTTTCAACGATTTCTTGCCATTTGCAATGCGATTTCCATTATATTCTATGTAATGCAAGAACTACTTTAGAAATTGCACCACAGCAAATCGCACAGACACCGACATTCACATTCATTAGATGCGATTTCAATTCGCAAGTCGCACCTGAAATGGCACCGGTGTGACCGGGCACTGAATCATTCACAATACTGATTGCACTAACAGGTGCGCTTGTTGGACAGGCAGCATGAACTGTATATAGACTCAGCTACTTGCAGTATACAGCGCTGTGTTCTGGCCGTGCGATGGGGACTTCCCAGGACAAAACAGAGCCGGGATGGGCGCTGCTTCAGCCATTCGCGGGAAGCTTTGTATGCTATGAAGTCAATCAACCCCAATGAATATCTTCAAAAAAAAAAAAAAAAAAGAGGTCAGTAAAGGATCGTCAACATTTTTCTTTCCGGACAAGTCTCCGTTTTTTAGAAGGAAGTCACTGTGGAGTAACTGTAGATTCACATCTATGCGGGTGGTGCCGCTGCGGATCCGCACGAAAATCCACCCGCACAGAGAATTGCAGACCAATGCGCGGGTGCCATTAGTTCTAATGGTATGCTGCCCGCAGTGGAAATCGCAACCGTACTGGGCTGTGTTTTCCAAAGAAGTGCAGGGACTTCTTCCCTGCGTGTCACAGGCGCGGGAGTCCATTCAAATGAATGGGCTCTCGCGCCCGTGCAGAACGCGGCCCGCACGACCGCATAGCTGTGAACCAGGAGGTAAAGAGGGCCAGCGCTCCAATGATGTGACAGCAGCAACCTACTTCCCAGTATCTCACACACGGCCTCCCGGGTCACCAGCTGCTCACTCTCCAGGTAGACCAGGAACGCGGCCTGAAACACGAGGCGCTGCAGGACGAACCGCCACTGATCGTGAAACCTGCAGGAAGAAGAAAGACAGTTGTATATGTTGCGCTATATTTGAGCAGTCGTTTACAAAACAAATATTATCGGAATAAAATACACTCGAATTAATTTTACTGCAAACACACCCAATATTATACCTAATTTTTGGCTAAAATATAAAAAGATTGTGTTGTGTTGAGTAGATCGATGCCAAACGTGTCAAGCCTCTGCGGAATGGCAAAAAAAAAAAAAAAAAAAAAACACACAAATTCGGTACCCAAAATTTTCTATAGGTGATGCTTTAACTCTTTCACTGCCACAGCTGTTTTTGCATCTTGTTTTTTTTTGCACACGTTTAAAAAAAAAATAATTTTAGGCCTACAAATTACACAAAACCCTCTGAATATTATATATTTTCTGCAGGCAGACACCCTAGAGAATGAAATTGTGGTCGTTCCAATTTTTTACACAACACGATATTACCACAAAAGGTCTAAGAAACACAACATTTCAGTAAAAAAAAAAACATTAATGTGAATTATAGGGCAAACAAATACAATAAATTTCCCAGGAAAATATAAAAGACGAGTAAATAGATACCAAACATGTCAAACCTTACATTTCTGTGCACCAGTGAAATGGTGACAAACTTCAGTACCCCATATTTTTAATAGGCGAGGCTGCGTCAGTTTAGTGTCACGAAGGAGGTGTTGTGCTCGGATTATTGCTCTCAGTCCAGTGTGAGGCAATATGTAACGTGTATCACAATCAACGTTTTCATATGTACGCCCTCCTATGTGCGTATATGTTAAAGTGAGGGGGGCCTTAACCTTTTTTTTTTGGGGTGGGGGGGATGTTGCGTGCTTGAGTGTAACTATTTTTGCAGTAAAAAAAACTATTTTTGCGTAACTCTTTTTTTTTTTTTAACCACTTGCTCTCCTGATGATTTCCCCCCTTTCTGACCAGGCCATTTCTTGCGTTTCTGCGCTGCGTTACTTTAACTGCCAATTGCGCGGTCATGCAACGCTGCACTCAAATTAAATTTACGTTCTTTTTTCCCACAAATTTAGCTTTCTTTCGGTGGTATTTGATCGCCTGTGTGTTTATTTTTTTGGACTTTTTGCTATTAAACATGATCAAAATGCGGTTGGATCCTGTCTTCTCTGATCCTCCCCTTCTTCCAGTGTTCTCTTATCTCCTGATAAGATATATTGTGTGGAGTCACTCTGCACATGCTCAATTTGGTGTGTATTGCTAGAGAGCTTTTTTTTCTTGGGAGAGTACATATGATCAGCACAGGGCCAATCAGAGCTGTCAAGGCAGAGGTCAGAGGTTCTGCATCCTCCTAGAGCAGAAAGAAAACTCCTACAACATTTAAGCAGTGCTTTGCTGGACACTGATAGAAGTCACAAAATTGCTATATACTGCTGATGAGAGAAAGGTATTTAGCAGTTTATATTTACTAAAATAATTGCATTTCCATTTTCTGTGTACTGTGGGAGACCAGATATAGTGAATGCGGGGTCCGGGGAGAGCGGATATAGTGAATGCGGGGTCCGGGGAGAGCGGATATAGTGAATGCAGGGTCCGGGGAGAGCGGATATAGTGAATGCGGGGTCCGGGGAAACCAGATATAGTGAATGTGGGGTCCGGGGAGAGCGGATATGGTGAATGCGGGGTCCGGGGAGAGCGGATATGGTGAATGCGGGGTCCGGGGAGAGCGGATATAGTGAATGCAGGGTCCGAGGAGAGCGGATATAGTGAATGCAGGGTCCGAGGAGAGCGGATATAGTGAATGCGGGGTCCGGGGAGAGCGGATATAGTGAGAAATGGGAGAGCCCAGGAAGCACCAGAGGTTCCGCTGGCGAGGTGCTGCACTTTGAAAGCCCCATAAGAGGGATCTAGAGCCGCCTAATCACTTTTATCGGAAAGCTGGCTCTTGAAGCCGGGGGACCTACCCATCATGTGATCAGGTGTCCATCCCGCCGGGATGCCATGTGTCCCCCATTGGGAAGATCTCCCTTCAGGTCAGTTCAGAGATGAAGCGGCACCACCTGTAGGCAGTGCCGGAAACACTTCTGCTAATGTGCAACACTTCCTGTCCCAGTGACACAACCTTCGAAAGTGAGGGGAAATTGCCTCTTGGTTGTCACCGGCACAGGAATGAAGTACACAGCCCCGGCACTACGTCTCAGCACTGACCCCTGGAACACAGCCGGTGGAAGACGCCCCAATGGGGAGTGCCCGCATCGGGCCTTACCGGTAATATTGATCGGAGGGGAACTTAGTGGCCAGTTCCTTGAGCTGCGTCCGGACGGTGCTGAAATGTTCTCGTGCTTTCAAGCACTTCGCAGGAACTGAAGAAAGAAAACACAGAGGGGGGGGGGGCGGTAATTATGACAGTAACTGCACCCTTAATATTCCGCTTTCTGCAGAGCCCGTCAAACAGAATTGTATTTTTGCGTTTTGTAGCTCCCACCCAATTTTTGTCTCCGCCCCGAGATCTGATCCACCCAATTGTAACCACAGAAAGAAAATAAATACCCGGGGGGGGGGATCGGAATGATGAAGTGGGGGGAGGAGGGATCAATTATACACCCAATATATTGTCTTTTATATACTAAACCATTCTGGATACACAACGCTGGATGGGCTGCTTGCTGGCCGACCCCTTTACTAGTGGAGGCGGAGTCATGCTGATGAATGATGGGGAGGGGCGGAGTCAGCAGACAGCGTGGCACACTCACTGTTGTTGAATCCCGCCTCCTGGTGGACGCCCTGAAGAAGGATGAGGATCTCCCGGGCCGTCTGCTCCAGACTCTGCACCACCTTCCGGATCTCCTGCACAGAGCAACAAACACAGCTTTATACATCAGATGGGGGGGCGGGGACACTGATATCTCCTCCAGTGCTCCCACATCCACCCGACCCCCGCACTCTGCGCGCCACATCCACCCGACCCCCGCACTCTGCGCGCCACATCCACCCGACCCCCGCACTCTGCGCGCCACATCCACCCGACCCCCGCACTCTGGCGCGCCACATCCACCCGACCCCCCGCACTCTGCGCGGTACATCCACCCGACCCCCGCACTCTGCGCGGTACATCCACCCGACCCCCGCACTCTGCGCGGTACATCCACCCACCCCCCCCGCACTCTGCGCGGTACATCCACCCGACCCCCGCACTCTGCGCGGGTACATCCACCCGACCCCCGCACTCTGCGCGGTACATCCACCCGACCCCCGCACTCTGCGCGGTACTTCCACCCGACCCCCCGCACTCTGCGCGGTACTTCCACCCGAACCCCGCACTCTGCGCGGTACTTCCACCCGAACCCCGCACTCTGCGCGGTACTTCCACCCGAACCCCGCACTCTGCGCGGTACTTCCACCCGAACCCCGCACTCTGCGCGGTACTTCCACCCGAACCCCGCACTCTGCGCGGTACTCCACCCGAACCCCGCACTCTGCACGTTACATCCACCCGACCCCCCCACTCTGTACGGTACATCCACCTGAACCCCCGCACTCTCTACAGTACTTCCACCCGAACCCCGCACTCTGCACGGTACATCCACCCGACCCCCCCACTCTGTACGTACTTCCACCCGAACCCCGCACTCTGCACGTTACATCCACCCGACCCCCCACTCTGTACGGTACATCCACCCGAACCCCCGCACGGTACATCCACCCGACCCCCCCACTCTGTACGGTACATCCACCCGAACCCCCGCACTCTCTACGGTACTTCCACCCGAACCCCGCACTCTGCGCGGTACTTCCACCCGAACCCCGCACTCTGCACGTTACATCCACCCGACCCCCCCACTCTGTACGGTACATCCACCCGAACCCCCGCACTCTCTACGGTACATCCACCCGACCCCCGCACTCAGTACGCCACATCCACCCGAACCCCGCACTCTGCACAGTACATCCACCCGACCCCCGCACTCTCTACGGTACATCCACCCATCCCCCGCACTCTGCGCGGTACATCCACCCGACCCCCACATTGTGTAGGTTACATCCACCCGACCCCCGCACTCTGCACGATACATCCACCCGACCCCTTCCACTGTTAGCACACTTTTGCCACACCCACCAACCCATGACATGTTGCTATTAGCCCCGCCCACCACTCCGCCCCCCTTCTTAAGAATTCTGATTTTTAAAAGTTCCTTAAATGACTGTATTCTCCCAACCCCCAATAACCGACCCATCCCCCCCCCCCAGATATGGTTCCCAACCTAAATCATTCCTAATAGTGGATGAAGCGCTCAGCCATGAGAGTAACATCCTAAATCATTGCCCCCCTCAATTATCTCCTCCAGTGAACCCCTCTGTACCCCCGTCCTCGCCACCACTCCCCCCCTGCTGGGTGTGTGGGGTCATATCCCCCCAAATAACACCCCATCCCCCACCTCAGTATCACCATCCCTCCTCCATTATCTCCCCTCCCCCCTCACCTCCCGGATGTCCTGGTCGGCGCCCAGCCCGCTCTGTAGTTGGACGAACATCTCTATCACCGACATCTTCTGCCTCTTCACCGGAGACTCGGGGGTGACGTAATTCAGCGGGGCGGGGCCGGAGGATCAAGAGCAACGTGGGTTGGCTGATCGGCTTCTACCAACGAGACAGAGATGGAGAGGAACTTCCGGTGATGTCATCACTCCTCGCCGGAAGCGATATTCCTTATACTACAAAGAATACGAACAAAATAATACTAACGATAACAAAACATAATATAATAAAATGTAATAAAATATTAAAAATACTTATAATAAATTAAAAATATGTAACAAATAATAAAGTAATATTAATCAATAAATAATAATCTAAATTACATTTTAAAAATGATAACTATAAATTAATAATAAATAAACAAATAATAAAATATAATAATTATTAAAAAATAATACATTTAATATTAAGGAATATAATTAATAATCAGTATAAATTAATTTAAATATTCGTTAAATTAGATTAAATAAAATAAATCTCATTAAATGTAATAAATATTTTGTATAGTATAATAATAAAAATATAATAACATAATAAAAGATGATAAAAGAAATAATAATGGGTTATAATAAATTTGAATAAGTAACAAAATATAATAAATATTGTTATAAAAATAATTAAATGTAATATTGATATAATTGATAATTAGTATAAATATTAATTAAATTATATTATTAAATAAAATAAATTACAATAAATGTAATACATATTTTTTTATATAATATATTAATAATAAAATATAACCACATAATAAAAGATAATATAAACAAAACAATATATAATATAAATATAATACAAATATATAATCGATTATAAACAATAATAGTAAAATATAATAGTAATAATAAAGGTTAATAATAATAATAATAATAAATTATAAAATATAATCAATATTTTAATAAAATATAATTACATTTAATATTAATGAATATAATTAATAATTCATATAAATAATATGTGTTAGTTAAATAAAATAAATTACATTCAATTTAATAACTATTTTGTATAATAATAATAATAAAAAATAAAGATCATAGTAAATTATATATAAACAATATATAATATAACATATAATAAAAATTATCATACCTTATTATACCTGACCTAAAATAGATGTAATTCTATAAAAGATAGATGTAGTTGTGGCATCGGCCGGCAGGTGTCGCTCGTTATGCCGGGTCTATAATGGATGTAATTCCCTGGCGTGGCCGGCAAGTGTCGCTAATTATGTGTAATCTATAGTGGATGTAGTTCCCCGAAGTGGCCGGCAGGTGTCGCTCATTATACCTATTCTATACTGGATGTAGTTCCTTAGTGTGGCCGGCAGATGGCGCTCATTATACTTGGTCTACACTGGATGTAGTTCCTCGGTGTGGCCGACAGGTGTCGCTCATTATACTTGGTCTATACTGGATGTAGTTCCTCGATATGGCCGGCAGGTGTCGCTCATAATACCTGGTCTATACTGGATGTAGTTCACCGGTGTGACCGGTAGGTGTCGCTCATTATACCTGGTCTATAATGGATGTAGTTCCTCAGAGTGGCCGGCAGGTGTCGCTCATAATACTTGGTCTACAATGGATGTAGTTCTTCTGTGTGACCGGCAGATGTCGCTGATTATACTTGGTCTACCATGGATGTACTTCCTCAGAGTGACCGGCAGGTGTCGCTGATTATACCTGGTCTACCATGGATGTAGTTCTCCTGTGTGACCGGCAGATGTCGCTGATTATACCTGGTCTACCATGGATGTACTTCCTCAGAGTGACCAGCAGGTGTCGCTGATTATACCTGGTCTACCATGGATGTAGTCCTTCTGTGTGACCGGCAGGTGTCGCTGATTATAGCTGGTCTATAATTGATGTGATTCCCCAAAGTGTCCAGCAGCTGTCGCTCATTATTCCTAGTCTACAATGAATGTAGTTCTTCTGTGTGGCCGGCAGGTGTCGCTCACTATTCCGGGTCCGCCGTGGTGCGGCGGATGTGCTGCCCCGGCAGTGTCGGTAGGGGTCGCTGTGCGGATAGTTCCGTGTGATCCCACGTGTTCGGTGAAGATGTCGGAGGAGAAGGTGTCGGCGGGGCCCCTCCTGTCTCTGGACCCCAAATTACAGGGGGAGTTCCAGGAGAGAGTCAGGAAGATCCGCAAGAAGGGCCGACAGGTACCCGAGAGAGATCGGGCCGCGTATGGGGGACATATCTCTGTATACAGAGAGATCGGGCCGTGTATGGGGGGGACATGTCTCTGTATACAGAGGAGAGATCGGCCCGTGTATGGGGGGGACATATCTCTCTATACAGAGGATCGGATCGGGCCGTGTATGGGGGGGACATGTCTCTGTATACAGAGGAGAGATCGGGCCGTGTATGGGGGGGACATATCTCTGTATACAGAGGAGGGAGATCGGGCCGTGTATGGGGGGGACATATCTCTGTATACAGAGGAGGGAGATCGGGCCGTGTATGGGGGGATATATCTCTGTATACAGTATATAGAGGGAGTGTATGGAGGGCTCTATATTACACATCGATCAGCCAGAACATTATGACCACTGACAGGGAAGGGACTAACATTGATGGCACCTGAGGGGGGGGGGGGGTACTGGGCACTGAGTGAAGAAGGGGGTGACAGAGAATGTGTGGGGAATCACAGTGAATGTAGGGGAGTGTCAGTGAATGTGGAGGTCTTGCAGTGAATGGGAGGTTTGCAGTTAATGTAGGGGAGTGTGAATGTAGGGGGTGGTGTCAGTGAATTTAGGGGGTGGTGGCAGTGAATGTAGGGGAGGTGAATGTGGGTGTTTGCAGTGAATGTAGGGGGGGGGGTGACAGTGAATGTAGGGGTTCGCAGTGAATGTAGGGGGGGTGTCAGTGAATGTGAGGGTTTGCAGTAAATGTAGGGGTATGTAGTGACTGTAGGGGGGGTTTCGCAGTGAATGTGTTGTGGGGGGGGGGGTGTCAGTGAATGTGGGGGTTCGCAGTGAATGTAGGGGGGTTTCTCAGTGAATGTGGGGGTTCGCAGTGACTGTAGTGGGGGTGGCAGTGAATATGAGGGTTTGCAGTAAATGTAGGGGTATGTAGTGACTGTAGGGGGGGTTTCGCAGTGAATGTGTGTGTGGGGGGGGGGGGGGTGTCAGTGAATGTGGGGGTTCGCAGTGAATGTAGGGGGGGTTTTCTCAGTGAATGTGGGGGTTCGCAGTGACTGTAGTGGGGGTGGCAGTGAATGTGGGGGCCGCAGTGGGCGGGGTGTTTGGCTGTCTCGGTTGTCGTCCTACATACACTCCTTGTCTGCTCTGTCCTGGCGCCAGGCCGGGTTGGGTTTGTGGCTTTGCATGTGATTAACATGTATACTTCTATCCCCCCCCCCCCAGTCTGAGAAACTCACCCCCGGCGTCCTCTACATCGGACACATCCCCCGCCTGCTGTTTGAGCCTCAGCTGAGGGAATATTTCAGCCAGTTTGGAACAGTCACGCGGTTCCGCCTCTCCAGGAGTAAGAAGGTAAGATTCTGAATTTTCAGCAGTGTGGGAAAAGAAAATGGGGGCAGGGAAATGACTCGTCATAAAGCATATTTACCTGTCGCTGCCAGCCCCCCCAAAGACTGGTGCCTTGTAGAAGAACGTCCCACCAACCATCTAATTGAAACGTTTGTGAAGCCACTTCAGCCTCAGGACATATCTGACACCTTTTCGTTTACATGTTAAAATCCGTATTTTTTGCTAGAAAATGACTTTGAACCCCCAAACATTATATATATATTTATATCTCTCAAAAAATGGAAGGAAGACTTTGTAATCCGAGTCGCATCCAGTCCATGAACCTCCTAGGATATGGATCTGGTCAGGTAAGTCGCAGAGGGGGTCGTTCAATCAGTTTCAGCTGCTTTGGTGTTCATGAAACTAACATCAGGTGCACTAGATGGGCAACAATGAGACGACCCACAAAACAGGAATGGTTTTACAGGTGACGTTTTCTCCCTACTCATCTTTTCTGACTGTTTTTCACTAGTTTTGCATTTGTCTAGGGTCAGTGTCACTACTGGTAGCATGAGGCCATACCTGGACCCTACAGAGGTTGTACAGGCAGTCTGACTCCTCCAGGATGGACATCAATACGTACCATTGCCAGAAGGTCACAGGAACACTTTGTTGGGTTTTTTTTTTTTTTCAAATTGTTTTACTTTTCATTTACTTTTTCATTTTCATTTCAATGTTACTTTAAAAAATAAATTTATCGATCACTTTTTTATTGCTGTCACAAGAACTGGAAACATCCCCTTTGATTGCAATAGACACGTGACAGGTACTCTTTATGGGGGGATCTGGGGTCTATGAGACCCCAAATCCCTCCTCTGCACTTGAAAGCACTCAAAACACCCAGATCGGGGTTTTTGAATACTTTCAGATTTTTAAAAATGGTGCTGAAAATTTCTGAGTAATCTGGGGGTGATGTCAGTCATTGATTCCGGTGCAGCTGCTCGATTTATTGTACAAGAGAGCCAAATGCCGGCTCTAAAAAAAAAAAAAACAACTGTACCAGGCGGATTCCTGCAGGCGCAGCGTCACTGCGGTACAACCACAGAAAGTCCAGTGCAGGGGCGGACTGACAACTCATGGGGCCCCCGGGCAATAGGGGATCATGGGGCCCCTGTGTCCTTGCTGAAACTCAAAAAAGCCTATGAAAAAGGTACCAGGGGCATGTCATGGGGCCCCCTACTGACCCCGGGCCCTCAGGCAGTGCCGAGTTTCCAAATGGTCAGTCTGCCCCTGGTCCAGTGACATACAGGCGTGCCGCTGGTCCGGAAGTGGTTAATAAATGTAGATTATAATACAGCGAAATGACATTTTTGGGGTAACATTTTTAATTGCGATTCGCAGACCGGGAACCCTAAAGGATACGCCTACATCGAGTTCGAATGTGAGGATGTGGCCAAGATCGTGGCGGATACCATGAACAATTATCTGTTCTGTGAGCGGCTCCTGAAATGTAAGTCTGCGGCTCTGCCTTGTGTCAGAATCTGAATTCACACCGAAGGAAGTGGTGTAGCTGCATAGAGTTTCCTGCGCACAATGGCCCAGGCGTTATGAGGTGCCGGAGAGGGTGGTGGATTGAGAGAGAGAGAGAGAGCGGACTGGGGGACCGGTGAGAGATGACGTGTTCTTCTATACCGCGTCCTATGCAGCCCCCCACAGGATGAGGGAGAAGTCGGGTATGTGCAGGAAAATATCTCCCCCCTCCATAATGAAAACCTTTCCGTAGTTGTATGGCGGTTGCCTATTGTAGGAGAACAGACGGGGGGCGCACTTCCCACAGCGGGATGATGTTCCACAGCCTGGGCCAGTGTCCTCGGGGGGGCCAGGGTCAGCCTGGGCCGGTGTCCTCGGGGGGCTAGGGTCAGCCTGGGCCGGTGTCCTCGGGGGGGCCAGGGTCAGCCTGGGCCGGTGTCCTGGGGGGGGCCAGGGTCAGCCTTGGCCGGTGTCCTCGGGGGGGCCAGGATCATCCTTGGCTGGTGTCCTCGAGGGGGCCAGGGTCAGCCTTGGCCGGTGTCCTGGGGGGGGCCAGGGTCAGCCTTGGCCGGTGTCCTGGGGGGGGCCAGGGTCAGCCTTGGCCGGTGTCCTGGGGGGGGCCAGGGTCAGCCTTGGCCGGTGTCCTGGGGGGGGCCAGGGTCAGCCTTGGCCGGTGTCCTGGGGGGGGCCAGGGTCAGCCTTGGCCGGTGTCCTGGGGGGGCCAGGGTCAGCCTTGGCCGGTGTCCTGGGGGGGGCCAGGGTCAGCCTTGGCCGGTGTCCTGGGGGGGGGCCAGGGTCAGCCTTGGCCGGTGTCCTGGGGGGGGGGGGCCAGGGTCAGCCTTGGCCGGTGTCCTGGGGGGGGCCAGGGTCAGCCTTGGCCGGTGTCCTGGGGGGGGCCAGGGTCAGCCTTGGCCGGTGTCCTGGGGGGGGGCAGGGTCCTGGGGGGGCCTGGGCGAGCGTCCTCTGGGGCCTGGGCCCTGGGGGGCCTGGGCGAGCGTCCTCTGGGGCCTGGGCCAGTGTCCCCCGGGTGCCAGGGTCAGTGTCCTTGGGTGCCAGGGTCCTCGGGTGCCAGTGTCCACCAGAACCAGTGTCCTCGGGTGCCAGTGTCCACCAGAACCAGTGTCCTCGGGTGCCAGTGTCCACCAGAACCAGTGTCCTCGGGTGCCAGTGTCCACCAGAACCAGTGTCCTCGGGTGCCAGTGTCCACCAGAACCAGTGTCCTCGGGTGCCAGTGTCCACCAGAACCAGTGTCCTCGGGTGCCAGTGTCCTTGGGTGCCAGTGTCCGGGTTAGCCAGAACAAGTGTCCCGATCACCTGCCAGCACCACTACCCGTGTCATCCTGTATCTGTGTAAGCCAGAACCAGTGTCCCAATCACTCAACAGTACCAGTGTCAGCCAGAACCAGTGTCCTGATAGCCAGCTAGCTCAGGTACCAGAGTCAGCCAGAACGTCCCAATTGCCCACCAGTACCAGTGTCGTCTTGTATGTGTCAGCCAGAACTGTTGCCCTCAGGTACCAGTGTCCTGATCGCCATCCCCACCTTACCTCGCCCTCCAGAATTGGGGAAAGAGGGGACATGGAAAGACGATTGAGAAACAGAAAAAGAGTGCAATAGAGGGAGGAAGTTCCCAGAGTGTAGTGCTGCCATAACTCATGGGACGGGGACACCGATAGACCGTAGAGGAGGGGAAGCAGCAGGGTAGGGACTATGCATTATTTCAGTTTTTCTTTTGCTGTAATGATTTGGGGGGGTTGTGATCTGTATAGCAGAGTGCTCAGATGGGGTGCTGAGTGCGGTATCTCCCTCCACTATTAGTAAATAAGCCCCCCTTTCTCTTGGCAGGCGAATTTATACCCCCGGAGAAAGTTCACCCAAAAGTTTTTATCGGATGCAACAGCAAGTTCAAGAAACCTTCACTGCCAGCGGTGACACGCTACAACAGGAATCGTTCCGAGCAGCAGCAGCAGAAGATGACCAAAAAGATGCTGGAGAAGGAGAGGAATCTGAGGAAGCGGCTGGCAGAGAAAGGAATCGACTACGATTTCCCAGGATTTGTAAGTGTTCTGGAATCTTTCTCGCAATGATGACCGCGTAGGATGAGAGCAAATATGGAGGGGGTGCGGGAAGCCCCTATATGCACCTAGACTGTCTCTTTGAAGGAGACCACTTTAAATGCAAAGCCCACCTTTAGGAACATCTCACCTCGAGACAAAGGTGGAAATACACTTTAAGGACAACTTGTATTAGATGCGGGGGCTTCCAGGGGTGACTTATTTTTCAAGGTGCATGGTCGGGGGCTGCCATCTTTATCTTTCCTTAATTCCTCAGTGATTGGCCTGATATGGAAATGCTTGTTCCAGGTCAGACGCTTGCATAGTAAAAGGACCAATCAGACGGCCCTTGGCCCTGCAGATCTATGTCAGCAATGATATCACTTGGATTTCTATTCTGCTACATTCACCTGTTAACCATAACAAAGCCAAATATAATGACAGGTCCCCTTTACTTGACCCTGTATTAATTATGAGGGGCACCGTGCCGGTATATAGGAGGGGGCACAGTATTCAGACATTAGGAGTTGTAGATAACAGACTCATCAGAACCTTCTCTGTCCATCCGAGTGTTGGATTACAAAGTGTTTTCCCTCCTATTCCAGGCCGCTCAGATAAAGAAGACCAAGCTGCTCTCTGAGGACGCCGACATTACATTCAACAGTGAGGTGAGTGAGAACGTGGAGAGATTAAAACATGAATTGCATCAGATGCGAACTGAATTCAAAGACGCAGTGACGTCACTAGGTCCTTTCCTACGCGTTTCATCATTGGGCTTCCCTGGAGGCTTCCACTGCTGCAATACAGTGTAATAACTGAGCCTGCATTGGTACATTATATGGAGCATTTTTACCTAGAACCATTGTTCACTATCATTTTTTTTTTTTTTTGTGTGTGTTTTTTTTTTTTTTTTCAATTCAATAAAATTTGTAGGTATTTCACTGTTAAGAATTCTCTGTTTCTTTGGAGCATAGCATGGGTATTGATGTGAAGAAAATGCTGGTGAATATCTCTATCTAGCTCTGTGTGTGCGTGTGTATATGTATGTGTGTGTGTATATGTATGTGTGTGTGTATATGTATGTGTGTGTGTATATGTATGTGTGTGTGTGTGTATATATATATATATATATCAGGGACGGACTGATCATTTGGAAACTCGGGCACTGCCCGAGGGCCCGGGGTCATTAGGGGGCCCTATGAGATGCCCCTGGTACCTTTTTCATAGGCTTTTTTGAGTTTGGGCAAGGACCCAGGGGCCCCATGACCCCCTATTGCCCGGGGGCCCAATGAGTTGTCAGTCTGCCCCAGAAGTGAGTACACCCCTCACAGGCAAGGCCTGTTTTGAGTGGAACCTGTCCTGTTACACCGCTGTATCGTCTTGGCAATCTTCTTAATAGCCTAGGCCATCTTTATGTAGAGCAACAATTCTTTTTTTTCCAGAGTTCTTTGCCATGAGGTGCCATGTTGAACTTCCAGTGACCAGTATCAGAGAGTGAGAGTGATAACACCAAATGTAACACATTCGCTCCCCATTCACACATGACACCGGGGGAGGGAAAATGGCTAATCGGGCCCAATTTGGACCTTGTCACTTAGGGGTGGAGTCACTTTTGTTGCCAGCGGTTTAGACATTAATGGCGGTGTGTTGAGTTATTTTGAGGGGACAGCAAATTTCCATGTTATACAAGCTGTACACTGACTACGTCACATTGTAGCAAAGTGTCATTTCTTCAGTGTTGTCACATGAAAAGAGAGAATCAAATATTGACACAAATGTGAGGGGGGACTCACTTCTGGGAGATACTGTGTGTGTGTGTGTGTATATATATATATATATATATATAGTATACAGTATACAGTCCGGGGGAGGGGCGACTCACTTCTGGGAGATACTGTATATGTGTGTGTGTGTGTATGGGTATATACATGGGGGTTTTGTGGATGATTCCACAGCAGTTGATTGCAGGGTGCTGTGAATGACATTCTGGGCTGACAGTGTTTAGTTTTAAATGACATGATTTAGGTGAATGCTCACAGACGGTTAAAGCTGAACTCTGGGACAAAGTCTACCCGTGAACTGGAAAGGGCTGAAGCAGACTTCCAGGATAAACCTAAGTAGTCTTAACCTGTCCCCTCCCCCCTCCTAACACCTATAATAACTAACCTGTATAAGAAAGATGGATATACTTCCTTATTTTCAGCCCGGTCACGTGATCTCCCATGTCAGCCGATGGCGGCTGCAGGGGAGAGGACGGAGCGCCAAGAGTGGCTGGGACATGGAAACCTATGGATGATGTCACCACTCCTGAAATTCCCAGCTGTTGTTGATCGCTCTCTCCTCTGCCCTGCCCCTACCAGGGCGGATCATGTGACCGGACCAGAGCGGGCTTAGAATAGGTAAGTATATACATCTTCCTTACACCGGTTAGTCAGGATAGGTGTTAGGAAAGGGAACATTTTTAAGACTAGTTGGGTTTATTCTGGAATTCTACTAATGCTGGTTTAGTCTAGGGGTGCTGGGAATAGGGGGGATTACTTACCCTGTCCTTTGCTCCAGTGCTGTTCTCCTGAAGCTGTGGACTCTGCATCATCACATACAGTGCAAGGCTACTAAGCCTGCATGGTATGGGAATGCATTGCATCCATGCAAGCTTGCAGCCGGGGGCCCGAAGTGCCACAGAAAGGTGGCAGCCCTGGACCGGTCGCATAGGTTGGGGGGGATCTGCCAGTGGGGAATAAAGTTCTTAATTTTTTTCCTTTATTATTATTTTATAACTATTGTTATATTATCTATTTTTTATTATTTACTATTTTATTTTTATTATTATTAATATATTATTTTGTTTAATATTTTATTATATAATTATTAATATTTATTAGACATTCTCCTTATGGCAACCTTTAGATTTTTGTCCTAACGTCAGATTTTTTTTTTTTCCCCTGGATTTCAAATTAAACATACTTCTTTCTGTATCCAGGCCCCGACCCCAGAGTGCACGCCCACCGTCCTGGAAAGAAGGAGGTCTGCCCGCCTGGAAGCCCCTGAGGACAGCGACGATGACGAGATTGTCGTGAATTTACCAAAAGATAAAACACCATCAAAGAAGAAATCAAAGCCCAGAAAGTCCACCCCTCCAGAAACCCCCAAGGACCGCAATAACGAGGTCGCCGTGAATTCACCGGAAGTAAAAACCTCTTCGAGGAAGAAATCAAAGCCCAGCAAGTCCGCCCCTCCGGAAACCCCCAAGGACCGCAATGACGAGGTCACCCTGAATTCACCGGAAGTAAAAACCTCTTCGAGGAAGTAAAAAGCCCAGCAAGTCTTCGAAGGACCGCAATGAAATCAAAGTAAAAACCCTTCGAGCAAAGTTTCCGCCCCTCCGGAAACCCCCAAGGACCGCAATGACGAGGTCACCCTGAATTCACCGGAAGTAAAAACCTCTTCGAGGAAGAAATCAAAGCCCAGCAAGTTTGCCCCTCCGGAAACCCCCAAGGACCGCAATGACGAGGTTGCCTGAATTCACCAGAAGTGAAAACCTCTTCAAGGAAGAAATCAAAGCCCAGCAAGTCCGCTCCTCCGGAAACCCCCAAGGACCGCAACGTCAAGATTGCTATGAATGTACTGGAAGTGAAAATGTCTTCAAAGAAGAAATCAACGCCCAGAAAGTCCACCCCTCTGGAAGCCTCCAAGGACAGCGATGACGAGGTCGCTGTGAATTTACCGAAAAACAAAACGCCGTTAAAGAAAAAATCAAAGCTCGGCAAGTCTGCCCCTCTGGATGCCTCCAAGGACAGCGATGACGAAATTTCAGTGAATTTACCGGAAGTGAAAACGACGTCGAAGAAGAAACCAAAGTTCAGCAAATTGGAAAAGAGAATGAAAATCAAAAAACTGAAACTACAGACCAACTAGACGGGAGGCCAGGACTGCGAAAGCTGCAAAGACAATTGTGGAGAGCGGTTGGGAGACTCAGCCAATCCGCTTCCGGTAACTTAACGGCTGCTGTTTGTAGGCAGCCAGTGAAGCGTAATCTGTGCTGATTGGTCGCTCTGCCGGGAGGTTCGTTTGCTGTTCAGGACCTATAATGTATTTTCTAAAGTCTAATATATGTGTGACAGCGGATCACCCAGACTCCTCTCTGTCATTCCACCCATCACAGAAGTCTGGATTCTGCTCGGCATGGAGTCTGTAAGATGTACAGAGATATTTTTTAATAAACCCGGGAGGATCATTCGACTTCCAGATATTTCGAGATTTGTTTTCCATTATTTTGGCTCTATCGCATGCATGCTGTCTTATCCCCTTTCTGTCCTGCCTGTATGCATAGGCAGCAAAGAGGTGGGCCCTATTTCCATGCTCCTGCACTGCACCGGTCACACAGGGACGATCGGGCTCCCAATTACATGATCGCTGGGTCAGCTATTCACAGTGATTACATGATCGGGAAGCCTATGATTAAAGGAAAAGTTTGCCTTAAAATAAAAAAAAAAATAATAATAAATGCAGGTGGAAAAAAAGGTGCATCTATTATTTATTGTTTATTGGGAGCCTGTAAAGCATTGCACCCGCGATCAGCAGATCCACTGGTGCAGTGCAGGGCTCTTGCAGACTGTTAGTGTCCCCTGTCCGCTCATACACAGAACGTGGGGCAGCTGCAGCAGTAACCTGACCTCTGTGATTGCCAACAAGGGATTTGCCACCAAGTACTAAGTCATGTTTTGTGAAGGGGATCAAATACTTCTTTCCCTCATGAACATGCAGATCAGTCATCATTTGTTAGACATGCATTTATTTTGCTTTTTTTTTTTTTTTGCTATTCTCTCTCTGTGTTACAATACACCGAACATTCTATTTTTAGACCAGTCATTTCTTTGTGAGGGGCAAACATTCAACATCAGCCGGGGAACAAATACACATTTCCTTCACTGTATATTTACTACAATATCACCCCCAAAATATTGTAGTAAATAATATAATATATAAGTAGCTGCTAAAACACACGAAACCGTGTCTCATATGTGGGCACTATATATCAGTGACACCAATGATGGGGCACTATTCCTCCCACTGACACTTGCTGACCCCTGTTCCAGTACGGTGCTGCTGCAGCCAGCATATGTGGTTGCAGCAGCACCTAAGCACGGCACACTTACCTGCATCTCCTTCACTCGATTTTCGCGGGGCCGCTCAGCTCCGCCTCCTCGCCGGTGATTGGCCACCTGTGTGCCTTTCCTGAGCTACAGTTCTGGCGGGCAATCACCGGTGAGAAGGCGGAGCCGAGCAGCCGCGCGAACATCCAGTGGACGAACCGAATGAAGGAGCAGCCCGCGCTTCCTGGACCGGATCGTCGTGGGACTGGAGCGAGGTAAGAGACAGCAGCCCCCTGCAGACGTTGACTCGAGTATAAGCCGAGGGGGCCGTTTTTCAGCACAAAAAATGTGCTGAAAAACTCGGCTTATACTCGAGTATATACGGTATATACCTTCAAAAACAGTAAGTATATACTAAAATCTGTGCAAAAATAAAAATAGATTCAACTGTGAGTAACACGTGAATCGTACAAAATCACTCTGTGTACACTATAAATTAACTAATACATAGCATCAAATTGTGTACACATAAAATTAAAATAAATGAACTACAATATAAAATAATTAAATAAACAAATCAATTTTAACCGCATGCCGCCCAGACACTGTACATATACGGCGGCAGGGCGGCACTCGCAGGCAAAACCACGTTTTAAAAACGTGTGTTTTGTAAACAAATAGGGGGCACGCACGAGGCGCACCACCGCCCTATTTGTCCCGTGGATCACCGCCGCAGATGTGAGTCACCGGGTCACAGCCGGTCCTTAGCGGCTATGTCCCGGCGATCGGCGGCAAACAGTGACAGAGTGCACAGCTGCAGTAGCTGTGCTGTCTGTCACTTCCCTGTCAGCTCGAGGATGAGCTGATCGAGAAAGAACAGTTTCTCTTTCTTGATCAGCCTTGTCCCGTGCAGCACACACCCCCCCCGCCCCCTAGTAAAACACTCCCCTCACTCCTATAACCCTTCCCTGCAAAATAAAGTTAACCCCTTCCTCCCCAGTGCCATTAGTACAGTGTCAGTGTTTTTTTTTTTTTTTTTTTTTGCACTGATCACTGTATTAGTGTTTTTGGGGATGTCAGTGACGCCAAGTCAGTACCCCCCAATGTCAGAATGTCCGTCGCAGTCCCGCCATAAGTCGCTGGTCGCTGCCATAAGTCACTGATCGCCGCCATAAGTATTATCGCCGCCATTATTAGTATAAAAAAAAAAACCTAAAAATCCGAGTATCTTTCCCGCCATTTGTAAACGCTATAACTTTCACGTAAACCAATTAATTTACACGTATTGGGATTTTTTTAGCAAAGACATGTCGCAGAATGCATTTTGGCAGAAATTTATGACTAAATTTGATTTTTAAATTTTTTTTTACTGGACATGTTTTATAGCAAAAAGTCCAAAATATTGTTTTTTTTTTCCTCAAAATTGTCAGCCCTTTTTTTTTTATAGCGCAAAAAAAAAAACCCGCACAGGCAATCAAATACCACCGAAAGAAAGCTCAATTTGTGGGAAAAAAAAGGATGTAAATTTCATTTATGTATTGTATTGCATGACCGCGCAATTGTCCGTTAAACTAGCGCAGCGCTGTATAGCAGAAAAAATGGCATAAATTGCAGTATCTATACCATAGTTTGTAGACGCTATACTATAACTTCACACAAAGCAATCAATATACACTTATTGGGATTTTTTTTACCAAAAACATGGAGCAGAATACATTTTGACCTAAATTTATACCCAACTTTTGAGTTTACTATATATTTTTTTATAGCTGAAAGTAAAAAATATTGTTTTTCTTCAAAATATTTGGCATTTTTTTGTTTATAGCGTGAAAAATAAAAAGCGCACAGGTGATCAAATTACACCGAAAGAAAGCTCTATTTGTGTGAAAAAAAGGACGTAAATTTCGTTTCGGTGCAGCATTGCATGATCGCGCAATTATCAGTTGAATTAGTGCAGCGCCGAGTGGCAAAAAGAGGCGTGGTCATTAAGGGGGGTAAATCCTCAGGAGGTCAAGTGGTTAAACAAAAATATATAATTAAAATGAAAGTAAACACTCCGTGATCACCTCTATATGGCAAGAATGCATACAATTACCCCCATGGAGTAATATCAAGCCTTAAGGGATATTCAGATATTTTAGCTGTCACTTTCAGGCTTTCTATAGCTGTATGTAGGGTAAACCTTTAATGCACCATCATCCTCATAAAAGATAGAAAAGAAACCCATGCAGCGTGATATAATAGGTACCCAATCATTGAATGCTTCATCTTACATTAGGGACTTTGAACATTCAGTGATAGATTCTCATAATCCAGCCACAGCAGCTTCCTAAGATAAAAAAAACACGTTTTTCCAGTCAGCAAAATGGCCGCACCGCCACTTCCTGTTTTGCACAATTACGTCAGACGTCACATCCCTTGACGCGTTTCGTCACTTCCGGACTTTGGCACCTGTCACAGATTTTGTTGGACCTGGAAGTTCATTTTTTGGGACTTTATTTATATTTAATTTTATGGTTTGATTTATTAATTTAAGTTAAGGATAAGAAAAAGGTTTTGAATATTAGTAACACATAACATGTTATAAAAAGTGAACGTATCCTTTAAATCTCTTAAGGAGCCAGCTGGAAGGGGTATGAGCGTATCCAAACCAAAGAAGAAACGTGGAATATATTGCAGCTTGCCAGTTCTTAAATGTGATGACTGCGTTTGTTTTTCTTTTTTCTGGCTTTTTTTCATTAATTTTTCACTTTGTGATTCAGCCAGTAACACTTTCTGTCCCAGGATGACAATGTTCACCCACTGTACTGCGTCTCTGGCCCCATTCACACTTCAGCGAGTTGTAGCTCTAAGCTCCAAAACACTCCAGGAGAAAAAAAATCAATTCTCAATGGAGATGGTTCACATCTCCACTCCAAGTCGCCTGAAGCTCAAACAAGTTTTGGAGCTTTTTTTCTTAAATCGGGCAGATTTTAGCATTTTTATTTCCGTAGAAATGACGGTAGTCGCGTGATTCATGCGTTTCTGCTCTTTCACGTGTTTTATCACACCTTTTTACGCTCGCATGAAAAAAAAATGTAATCTATAAAAAATCAGAAATAATAAATAAAATAACTTAGTAATATGTAATGATAATAAAAATGATTTTTTTTTGTATTAGAAATAACCCCTAAAACCATATCCCCCAAACCTTTAAAAAAAAAAAAAAAATTGGCTG